CATTTGTTTTCTCTTTTTCTGACTTAGCTCACATTCAGGCATGCCGTGCCCTGATGATCACTTCCATCCTTTTGGGATTCTTAGCTGCAGTACTCTCACTGCTTGGTATGAAGTGCACAAACATTGGGTTGAGTGATGAAGAAGGAAAAATGAAGTTTACTGTCACAGGAGGATTTCTTTTTATTTTAGGAGGTAATATCAAGGCTGAAATGAGAGCACTATTGATATTTTGTATGGCTTTCACAGCCAGACTAAATGAAATAAATTTATTTTTGGTTTAAATCTGTTACAGCCATTAAAGGAATAATTCACCTGTGTTCTTCTCTAAACTTCTTCTGGTAGGTCTCTGCTCCATGGTGGCTATTTCTTGGTATGCTGCAATGGTAACTGCTCAATTTTTTAACCAACTGTACGCTGGAACCAAGTAAGTTAATTTATCTTGTCATACCAAACTCCATTGTGTGTTAGCTGCACTAACCTCAGCTGCTCCAGAGTTTCAGAACCTGGATGGATCCCATTATCCAGTCCTACAGGAGTGAAAAATTGTATTCAGGGAATCTTTTCACCTCAGAGATGTTGGTGGGGAGGGAGGAGAGTTTTTTCTGGAAGAGTTAGTGAATGTGTGAGTAATACCAATCCCCATCTGAGGGGGTTTTGTACTGTGTATTTTCTTGAGAGACTAAACTAATGTGTATCTCAATGTTATGAAGAAGAAAAGGCAAAATTCCTAATCTGCTTTGGCATTTAGACCAAAAGAGGTACAAAACTCAAGTTCTGAATAAATAAAGTACCTCAGATGTACATGCAGGGGAAAATCATGTGGAAAGCAGCTCGAGGTTTGTACTAATGACCTGCAGAGAAATCTGCTGCCTTTCTTATACATGTCTATATATTAACAGCTCAGTTTGCCTTATGAGTTAAAATGACACAAAATCTCTGGGATTACCAGCTAGTGCAGTTGCATACAAACAAGTTTTGAGGTATAAAAGCCCTTACTCTTTGTCTGATATAAAAGTAACAGTTGTCAAAACCAAATGGCATCTTATGGCACCTTATCTAGTTGTCCTGTTTGGGAATGAGGAACAAGGGTAGAGGTGACTGCTCCTTTCCTTCAGAGAGGGGGAAAATGAGAGGGAAACATATTGCCTGTGTAATACGAGACATCTATAATATACTTCTACCAAGTATATAAATCATAGATCAGTAATCTATAAATTGCTAGTTGCTAGGCTCGTATTTGAAGTGTTTTGTAAAGTTCCCACCCAGGAATCAGTTCAAGGAAGTCAGAGGTGAAGTGCTTTGTGATAAATCAAAGTACTTTAAGCAATTGCTTCTGTTGTTTGTCAGTTTTCCCTGCGTTTTCAATGAAGTGCTTAGAAAAAAATTGTATTTGTGCAGTTACTTTTTGTTGCTTTATATCCCCTTGAGAGACGTATATGAAGGGTAATAAATGCATTAGAGAACTGAAACAACCGTTGATAAGGAATTTCGGTTAGTTGGATAGTTGGTGTGTTTGATAGTTACCTGCTATAGCTTTGGGGCTTCAACATCAGTAAGTGAATTGCCTGTTAATCAGTTACCAGATATACATTCAGTAGCTAAAGAAATCTTTTTTTTTTTTCTTTAATATCTAAACTTCATATTTCAGCTATTGATTCACTGAGCAGTTCTTGATGAATGAAATTTGATCATTGGTAAAGCTGGACATGCAGTCTGTGAGACAAATTTAAATTAAATTGTATAGCAGTATTGATCTTCAGTCTTAAGAGACTGGCAAATCTGGTTTTTCAGATTGTATTTTTTGGTCTAATTTTCAGCAAATTAGTGCAGTTGACCTCTGCTAATTCTTAGAGGAGTTTCTCCTACACCTCTGAAGATAAACAAAGTTCTGCAGTTCTCCTATATACTTTGCTTTGGTGTGACATCTACAGCATTATTGTCTGTAGGTGACTGGTGAGCAGAAATGATTGCAGGCACTGGGCAATGTGCAATTTGTACTGCTGGGTTAGTTTGATAATGACTCTCTGCTTGTTCCATGTTTGGAAGTACCTAAAGCAGTGGAGACCTTGTGGCTCCCACGTGCGATGAGATATGGAGAGCTGTGCAAACCCTTGAAAGCCTCCTGTTAGCAATGAATTCCAGAGTCAGAACCTTTGACAATTAAATAGTTGTGTTTCCAAGTGGAAAGAAAACACAAATCTCTGGTTCCATGGTACCTTCAATGCAGTCCATGACACTCATTTTACTCTTACATTGGGTATCTCAGATAGAGATGTACAGGTGGATTGTGGATGTAGTTTTTGTCTGATCATGAAAATTTATTTTCCTCTTTTTATGAAACACCTGCCAGACTTTTCCAGACTCAGTTGTGTCTAATCTTTGGGACAAATTCATTATCAATTAATTTCTTGGACCGAACTAGGGGGTTTCCTGAAAGGTATGGTTTTGGACAGTAAAATAGGGAACTATTTTTCAGCCTGAGACATTCATAAATACCTTTCAGCCATACAACCACAGAGGGTGCTAAATATCCTTTAGGATATCTAAGTTTGGAAACAAGCCCTATACAACCAGCTACTTTTAAGTCACCTAGTGTTGTGTCCATAGAAAACTGATGTCTGTGGTCAGCCTTTTCTCAGCATATACAGTAAGATCTGAATCATTCAGTTTCACAAAATCATTTCAGTGACACAACCAATCAAAGGGCAAAATAAGTGTTGTGGATTGCACATTGTCATAATTATTTATTATCAACAATTTGTCAAATATACACAATTACTTATTGCTACTTATCTTTTTGTTGCTTAGCACTCTCTGTACTGTCACTAATTTGGCAGAGCAGCTCTATACAAATAAGAGTTTTACTGAGCAGACACAAAGCCAGATCTGTTCTCTGTTAATTGCTGAAGTGCCTTTCAGTTAGCTGATTTCTATGCAGATTAGAATTTGTTTGCACAGCTTTGTGGTCTTGTTATAAGTTGCTTCCATAAAATCTTTCATGTTTCAGGTATGAACTAGGAGAAGGTCTGTACTTAGGCTGGTCTGGATCTGTCCTTTATATACTGGGTGGGATCTTACTGACCTGTTCATGCAGAGCGAAGGAAAACCAAAATTACAGGTAATCTTGGATTTCTCAGTTGCAGTAGTAGCTGTCAATCACATACCACTTTATACCTGTGCACTACTCTGTCTCTCTCTCACCCCCTGGTGTAAATATGTATAATTTACAAACAGTGCTACGGCATGTCACAAACTGGGGATGCTGTACCAAACATTTGTACCTCCCAGACAGGGATGCATCACCATCAGCAGTCACCTTTAACTTGTATTTGGCAATTCAGGGCACTGCTGATGGTGAAAATGTGTGGTGAAAGAGCAAACTATCACCAAAAGAAAAGTATATAAAACCCCATAATGTATTATGATCTAGTTTCTCTGCAGTACTTATTGTGAGTAAAATATTCACACACTGTTCAATTTGCAGAAAGTGTAAAGGTGTCTCCCAAAGCACATAGAATTGATCACTAGAAACATGGTTTTTCTCTTGTTCTTTATGGAAATGCCTTGTCACACATCAGATCAGGAAAGGTGAGATTTCTGGCCTCAGTATTTAACCTTCCCTGCTTTTTTGTTTCAGTCTTAAATTTTGACACACAGAAGGCCTCTTTTTGAAGGAGAGAGATGAAACAGGCAGAAATAGCAGAGGTCCATGTCTACCAGAACTCAAATAGCTTGGAGGTTGTACTAGCTAAGCTTGAAAGGGTTATAATATGCAAGGAAGAAGCATATTCACTGTTAATGAATTTAATCTTAGGAAAATTACATCAAAATGTAGTAAGTGAGTGTTCCTCTGGTACTCTATTGCCTAATCTGAAACCATTTCAGTTTTATGGTAATATTTCATCAGCCACATTGGACTTTAGATCTTGCTCACCTTCCTTTGATACAAAGTACCAAATGTCCTGAAATGTCCTGAAAAACAAGTAAAACTGATATATGAAACAGAAGTTCAACATGATGAATGACAGTTGAAGGGGTTGGGTGAAGATATTTCTGTTTTCTTTTTTCATCATCTGGATTCCTGTATTAAAACCTGCAGCTTGAACAAAGGTGCTGAGAGCTTCTGCTTTAGGGCCTTGACTGAAGTGCCTCAAGGAAGAGCACATGTGAGTTAGAAATCCAGAGTGTGGCTGAGGTTATGAGGGATGCTGTGCAGCCCATCAGGGACCCCATCTATTCCCCCTGAGCTACCAGAACAATGAGAACAGGAGGCCTCTAATTTCTGCCCTGTTGTGAAGAGCAGGCTATGGGTGGGTTGGATACAAAGCTAACTGAATAACTTCTAAGTGTCTGAAGCCATGGGCATGTGTCTAATCCCTATTATTTGGTATGATTTTTTCTTGATTTACAGTCCCAAGAAGTATGCATATTCAGCAGCCCAGGCAGCTTCTCAGCCACACATGTACCCCAGGAGCTCTGGGACAGTCATAAGCAACAAGGAATATGTCTGAGCTCCCATCCTGCATCCCTGCAGCCTTCATGGGTTATGAACTCCAATAAAGAGGTGAATTCTTCTTTATTCCAGTTCCAAGCTGCAATCCTATGCCTTAATTTGGAGCAGTACCAGGAGGAGGTATGGCTTTCGATGTACATAGGAATGGTTTTCAGATGTAAATAGCTTTCTACAGAAGATGCTGTGATGTGAAATCCTGTGGCATGAAGGTTTTCTGCCTGCTGAGAAGCGTGGTAAAATTTAACCAGAGTGCAGTATCTGCTGACACTCAAGAGCAATGGTTCCTATTTCAGCTGACTCAAACATGTGGAACTGATAGCTGTAACTGACTGCAAGTTCATATGCCTCACAGTTAGAAATGTGTTTTGTTTTCATTAATGTTTAGCTTCCTTCTTTTGTTTAGCAGCTTAAGCTTTTGACAATAAATAAACTTTGTTCCACAGACTGAAACGGATTTTTTGACAAGTGGAATTCTCTAACAAGGATCTTATGTTATACTGAAATCTTTATTATATATGATAGTCAAGGTTTATAAAAGCTACAACATTTTTTATAGCAAACCTGCTAGAATCACCTTCAAATCTGCAGATGTGCAACAAATTTCTTGTTGGCTGTAATGCAGATACGGAAGATAAACAACACAGAATGAACAAAACACAGCTGGGAGTGGAGAAAGCATCTGGTGTGAAAATGCCTTGTGGTAACTAAGAAAATGATAGCCTAAATTTTCTATTTCTATGGTTTCAGCTTTTAAAATAACATTGCTTTAATTTTGAGCAGTCTTTAACTTTGGGAACTTATACTGCATCTGAATTGTCTAATTCATGTAATTCCCTAGTGGTTTTATTTTCTGTCATTGTTCCATCATTACAATTTTTGCCTTAAACTACTCCACTGCTGGGAGCATATGTTTACCTTGTGTGAGCACTTAGGCAGATGGCAGTGAGTAACTTTACTTTGTATTTATGCTTTCAGCAAGGTGCAATGGAATTTCACCCTGCAGGTTCTCAGGTTCTATAACTTGTCCCTTTTAAATGACAAGTGTGTTCATACAGCTTGACAAAACTCTGTTTTGAATGGCTAATGATAAACACGTAGCAGTCTGATCTGGAAGTTTCATGGCCAGTAGATAATTTCAGAGGGCAACCTGGAAGCAGTCTCAGCAGAGACTAATTTAGCCATGCTGCTGCATGCAGGAACAGCTGACTTGTAAACTGAGACATTAAGGCATGAACTGGGCCCTGTTAGTAAGTAAAGCTAAAAGGAGTGTTGATTACTTCTACACTGCCAGTGTCATCTTCCCTCCACTATCACCTGCAGTTTTTTAAATCATTCCTTTGATGTTTTAGAGAATAATTTCAAAAGCTGAAAAGTCACTGGCCTGCATGGTGGGAGCAGAACTGCTTACCATCACCTGTATATTCTGTCCTCTGGATTTTTAGGTCATTTGTGAAGGTACTTTAGTCTAGTTGAACATAAGGGAAATCACAGAGTAAAAGCATCAGCCATTGCCAGTTTCCCACCAAAGGTTTTGTCAGCTCATTAACGTGAATTATGATCCAGTAGGTGAGAGAGAAATTCAGAATTTCCTTATTTTGGCATCATGTCTTCTAATGGCATCACTGGGAAGTTTAATTAAAAAATAGGAATATAATCCCTGTGGTAACTCCTTCCCTCGTTCAGTACATTGTTACCATACTTAGTGTCATTCAGGGGAAAATAACTGCCGAAGATTCCAGGCCTTTCTGTGGTTTGTTTACAGTCCTTCCAGCCATTTTCTGTTTCTGCTGTTTTTCCCTGCTTATCTGCCCTCTTTCCATGCATTATCAACAGAAATGCTCTGAATGAATTATCAACATAAATGCTCTGAATGAATTTAATGAACCATCAACTCAGTTATGGGGGTAAAGTGTTTTATCTACAGGTGATTTAGGAAGTGATTTTTTCCCCCTTTTTTTAAAAAGTCACTTCACTTTCTTTGAAGTATCTTCACACATCACTATTTTTAAGTTCTTTGCTCAGCAGAGCAGACTGCTTTGCTATCTGCAATTCTTCTTCATATCTCTGCAGCTGAGACCAAAATCCTGCATTCGGTTCTGCTACGGGTCTGGCAGTTTTCACAGCCTAGAGAACAGGAGAGACATAGTAGAAGCAAGGTATTCTGCATTTGTGGGAGTCATGCAAATGAAGTTGGAACTTAAAATTTCAAGAAGATTTACTTTGTTTTGATTTGGCTACAGAGGAACAAACAGCTATTTTGGTGAGCTGACTTCACTCTGTACTTGCCAGGAACTGGCAGGAGGGCCTGGTCACAGAATGGAATCATGGCCAAGACACGAGACAGAGCTGTTGGATTTGCTGGGAATGGGAAAGTCTCTCACCACACACAGTGACACTCCTCGTGGTTAAGACGATAGTGTGAAACTTGGTCACTGTCTGCACACCTCAGTCTAAATTAAGCAAATTGGCTATCTGAAGTGATACACCTACAAATGGGTGAAGACAAAACCCGCAGAGCACAAGGGGTTTGTACTGGAGAGGCTTCCAGGGAAGCTGACGTGCCACTGCTTACAGCAGTACAGCTGTGGCTGATGGCTGGCAGTCCCGGGGCACCCGGCAGGCCTGACAGGACAGGATGCTCCCTGCTGTGTGGAGCAAACCCTGAATAACAGCTCCTGCACCCACTCACTCCATGTCTCCTTCACTTATTGTGACTGTGCAAATGATAGAGAAAATGTTCACTAAGCAACCAGCTTTGTATGTTTGCTACCCGTGCATTTGTATTTATCTTCATCCTAGAAACCCCACACTGAAAACTTATTGGACCAAGCTGGGCCTGAAAAATTTAGAGGGAACTGTTTACTGAAATGCTGAATCTCTGTATAACCGGTGATGGGCAGGAGAAAGCACCAAAATAACTCTGCAATAAGTCATCATTACTCATAAGAAACATTGCATTTCGTCCCCGAAGGAGCTGTAAATACGAATCGGGATGCAGGCGCGTTACCTCGAACGCTTCCTTGAGCGAGAGCTGCCGGTGTCTCATCAGGTAGGCGGTGCAGACGGCAGCGGAGCGGCTGCGGCCGTTCTTGCAGTACACCAGGCACCTGCCGCCGGCCCGCACGGCCTCCTGGATGGCGGCGCCGCAGGGCTCGAACCAGCGGCGCAGGTCCTCGCCCGGCCGGTCCGACACGGGCACGCGCAGCCCGCGGACGCTCCGCAGCGCGGGGAAGGGCTGCTGCCGGCTCACGTTCACGCACAAGGTGACCCCCTCCCGCGCCAGCAGCTCCTCGTCGCACGCCGCCCGGGCCGTGCCCAGGAGCAGCGAGGCCGTGACCGGGCAGAGCTGCAGCATCGGCGGACACGGGGCCGCTGCTCCCGCTGCCGGCACGGCCGCGCCGCCGCCGCGCTCCGCGGAATTTATCCGCTCCCTACCGGCTGGGCCGTGCAGGCTCCGCGCGGGTCCTAGTGCCGGCCGCGTCCCCAGAGCTGGCTTGGAAAGCTGGCAGCACTTTCAGAGCTCACCGCTCACTCGTAAAGCCGCTGGGTTTGTACAGGCGCTACCCCCAGAGCAGCTGCTTACCCGCCGTGCTCTGCACGGGAGTGCTGCTGCTGCTGCTGCCGCTGCTGCTGCCGCTGCCGCTGCCGCTGCTGCTGCTGCTGCTGTTGCTGCTGCCGCTGCTGCTGCTGCTGCCGCTGCTGCTACGGGCGGTGCTGTTGCTGCAGTGATGCAGCACTGAAGATGTGTCAGGGTGGCTTTAGGTTGGGTGTTAGAAAAAGATCCTTCACCCAGAGAAGATCCGGTTGGGTACTGGAACAGGATCCTTGAGGCAGCGGGCACAGCACCAAGCCTGAGAGAGATCAAGTGTTTCAAAAGTACTCTTGGGCCCATGGTGTGGCTCTTGGAGACGTTCTGTGCAGCACCAGGACTTGGACTCCATGATCCTTGTGGGCCCTTCCAACTCAGCATATTCTGTGATCGATTCTGTGATTTTTCCAGAGCATCATGGTGCCCCTTTCCTACAACAAAAGCATCTTTAGAGTGCCCAGAAAATTATTTACTAGGCTGGCCAGATAGCATAGTGCTAATCTTCCTGGACTTCAGTAGAATTGCTGGTGTGCTGCCAGGGCAGAGAGCATCTTACACCTGAGTGTGCTGACATGGGTTTGAACTGCACAGGATGGGTGGGGATGGGCCAAGCCAGCCAGGTGAAGGTCACATTGGCCAGTGCCAGGCAGGTGCTGCAGGGCTGGTCGCAGGGGCCAGCTGCTTCCTGGAGGCTGAGCTGCTTCAACCCTTTGCTTTCAGGTAAAACAGGAGCATTTGACTGATATTTGCTGCTGACACAAAAATGAACCTGAATTGTTGCAGCAGCAGAGCACAGACTAGTGTGAAAAGCAATGCCACTCACTAAGGAATGACAAGTGAAGTACAAAGATGAGCTTTTATTCCACCATGGAGGAAAGAGAACTGGACCAACCATGCACCTGCCATCATTTGTGTCAATAGCAGCCTGTCAGTGAGATGTTGGCTCCAGGGCCAAAGGAATTGACTCTCTCACATAAGCACAAGGGTATGCAGTCCCCTTCTGTTATCCAGCCCGTGCCTCAGCTCCCACATGAAGGCTTATTCACCTGCCCCCTTGCTTCCTGGGCTCAGGGCATGTGGCTGGTACAAAGCTTGGCTCAGGCTGGGATCCTGTGGCTGGAAAGGAGAAAACTCAACAGGAGACCCCTGATACTGCCCATCCCAGCAGCATGGGGAGGACTCTTGGGATTCTTCCACAGCCACTCTTTCCAGGGATTTGGGACCCTCCCTGGCAGTGGCTCTTGCCCAATTTAGCATTTTCCATGGCACACCCCTTATTCCCAGGCCATGATGTGGGCATTCAGGCAAGGAGCCTTTCCCTTGTGGGACAGGCACACATCAATTCCCCACGCTGTGGAAAAGAGCCAGCTGCTGCCCTACCTTCCTCTGACAGAGGCTCATCCTTTTTCTGCCTGCACTCATCAGTGGCCTTTCCTGGGCCCTTGCAGAGCCCCTGGGTGGTGCTTTATGGGCACACTCCAGTTCATGCCAAAACCGTGATCTTGATTTTGCATGGCATCACACTTGCTGTGCCATGAACCCTCCACTGATCTGTGTGGGTGCCAGTAGCCCATCAGATTGCTCTGGGATCTGCCAGACAAGCCTGGTGTGAGTTACTGGTTTACCAGTAACTCATCCCAGCGCTGGTCCAGGTGTTACTCAGGTGACACCATCTCAGGGCACCATTCTTGTCACTTTAGCACCAGCAAATGCCACTGGGCTGCACCTGAGCTCCCTCTCTCTGAGGCTATGGATGTTTATTGGCTCTGCCTGCAGCTGACTTCAGGATGGTCATTCATGCCAGAAAGGAGGGCCCTTCCCACCAGCCTGCCCTGCCCCAGGTCTCTATGCAGAGGAGGACTTAGAACAGGCCAGCTGTCACTACACACAGAGTAATTTGTAAGTTAAACACAAATGCCATCTCCTGGCAGTGAAGCCAGTTGCTGCCTCTGTAAGAAGATGGTTGAACTGCAGGGTGACAGCCTCACCCCCTCGCTAGAAAGGGTCTGATGCCTCGGGCCAGATTTGGCTGGGCTATTTCTGGTCTTGAAGGCAGCAGCCCCAGTCACAATGGCTGTCTCCTGTCCTCCTGCCATGCACCTGCAAAGTGCCTGGCCCCGCTGGCTTGGTGAGCTCCCGGTATGTGCTGGGCTGCTGCTGAAAGCCTTGAAGCCTTCCATGCCTAGGGAAGCAGTCATGTGTGGCTGCAGTGGAGCAGGAACTGAGCTTGTACCACACCCTACACCTCCTGCAAGCTCTCGGCACTGAATTTGCAAACATACAGTGTTCATGACATTATGAACTGCAGAAATGTTTTCAGGCACCTTTAGTAAACACCAAGCCATAAGACGCTGTTATTTCAGGTCATAATTAGACACCAAGGAGGCAAAGCAGGCAACTGGTGTGCACAAAACTTTTCCAAGGAGAAGTGTATTTTTGCACTTGTCTGTATTTATATAAATGTGTGGACATGGTGCAGATAGCTGTAGCTGCAGGACAGGAGCCTAAATAAATACCTACTCACTTAAGGATATCAGTCAGTTTATTAAATTTAGCTGATATTTGCTTCCAGGCAGAAAGATACATGTTTAGGAATTTTCAGTTACCAAGTCTCTCTTAGACATTTCATGAGCAGCTTCCAACACATCACCTTGACAGCTGCATTCACCCACTTCTGCAAGTGGACAGAGATGAAGCACAAACCTTTTTGCTGCACCAGTTCAGTCTCAAGCACGTGCTGGAGATCAAACACCCCCTCGCTGCTTTGCTCGCTGTGAGCCTGTCCAGCAGCTGCACTGGTGGAGCTGGACGAATACCAAGGACATTTCTGATTTTTTACACTGTTATGCCATGACTTTCTGTGCTTCTAGATGAGAAAGAGACAACTTAGGATCCTCACTGTGATGCCTCAGGCCAGGCTCACCTTGTTGCCATGAACACACATCCACAGAACCCAGCAGTGCTCCTCTGCAGGGACACAGGTGAATCCCTACTGCCAACGCTGCATCAGCCCATTACACACTTGTGGCTGAAACACGGTTCCATTCCTCAGGGCCCCTGCCCTGGCCCTTCAGCTGTGCTTCAACAAGTGAAAAAGAAAGAAAATGCCAGACCCGGCTTAAATGGAGAAGAAATAATTGCCCTGTAAATACAGATTTGTCTCCAGCCTTTTTATTTATACAAGGATTCAAAGAACATATTTCAACTTTAGATAAACAGTGCAAGAGAGTTACAAGTACCTTGGTAACAGAAAGAAATAGATAACTGTCCAGCTATGCTGATAAGTGAAATAATTCTTACTCCTGCAGATAGAAATGCATCTGTTTAAAGCAAAGGTGGACTTTAGATATTCTGCTATACCTTAGCCCCTACCAAGCTCACCAGAAAACAACAGGCAGCTTGTCATTTGTAAATGAGAAGTAGCTGTGCTCTCAAAGCCTTTTGAGACCCTCACCATTGTTTAAAACACACACTCTATGGCACAAAGAGAAGGCTGAAAGACAGAGACACTTGGAAATCCACCATTTATGGTTCTCCCCTTCCCAGGGACGGGGCCTTTGTAAATATTTTTTCCTTCACCCCCTCCACACCCCTGTCAAGTATGAGGCCTTTTCACACCAGAACACGATGGATCACCATCTTGATAACATGGAAGCAGATGTTTCTCCCCAGCCAGCCCAGTTCCTCAGGGATCCCCTCATGCAGCCAGCCCAGAGCAGCCACCAGCCACGGGGAGGTGTGTCACAGTGTTTTCCAGCAGGCAGCAGCCCAGGAAATGTCATTTATAAGCACTGAAAGGCTCCAGGTTCTGCACCTGCCTGACCACAGGCTCTGGACCTGGGCTGATTTCAGCTTGTTCAGCCACAACAGTGGTTGTTTAGTCAGCAGTAATTAGTTTGCTTTAGTTTAGAGTTGATGTCCTGGGGGCTTTAGGCCATTTCAGCTCCTGGGGAAGGTGGCATGGCCAACCACAACCCCAGGGCACTTAATGGCAGCAGCTGGGGAAACAATTTCAGAGCAAGGGAGAACAGAAAAACTGAGAAACCAGGGACCAACGAAAAGCAGCAGTGTAGGCTGCCCGTGGACAGATGTCAAAACCAACCCCAGCAGGTGCAGGGCCACCACCACCATTGAGCATGGCTGGGCAAGAGCGGCCGAGCCCCCTGCACTGCCCTCACCTCAGCTGCTCTCCTGCTCCCACCCTGGCCTGGCTTCTGGAAGGTGCAAGCTGCCAGCCTCAGGGTCAGGAGGGATGTGGAAGGGGGTGCTCCACCCCAGCCCGGAGGTGAAGGCTTCAGGAAGGGTTTCCCCTGCATAACAGATTTTACTGTTTCTTTGAGGTTTTGTCTTATTGATTTGAACTAACAGTTTTGTTTTTTTTTTTTTTCTTGTAACAGAACCACTAATTTGGGCTATTAAATTGTTAAAATACTAACTGGATAATCAGTAAATTCCTGGCTTCACATTTAAGATGTAAAAGGGCCCATAAGAAGGTTTTGAGGATAACAGGCAGACAGCAAAAACTAATTGCACAGAAATGCAAAGTGACTTTCAAGCTCCCATTCTGCAAAGCAGAACACTGACCTCAGCATCCATGTGTTAAAACCCTAACCCAACTGTGTTTTGATGAGGGTACAATGTTTTAATTCTTCCTCCCTCTCCAGCTTTTTTTTTTTTTTTTTTTTTTTTTTTTTGGATGTAAAGCTTCTTCAGGATTGGTTGTGGGGATTGTTGTAACGGAAGGTTAAATTTGTATTTGAAATTCTGTTTAAAAGAGTTAAAAAGAAAAGATAGGAACTCTTTAGAGCAGTAAAAATCATGTGAAGTAAATAAATCTAGACAAAACCACTGCTTACATTTATCCTCTCCAGGGTTCT